CATGAAATTTAATTGAGGCTTAAATGAATAAGTTTTTTTTTTTTTTTAATTTTTTGAAATAAAAATTACTTAAATGAATAAGTTTTAATTGAGATATTGGTGGCATTAAATTCTTCTTCCAAGTGGCAACTGCAATGTAATATGAAAGTACCTTATCCTGTTCAGTTCTAGCTCAGATTCTCTCCCTAGCAACCTATACTGTTCTCTTGTGATGCAAAAAGGAAGTATTGAATTTAATTATTTGCAAGCACTAACCGAGGGATCAATTTATGGTATTTATATTTTTCATAATCAGTTTCATAAGATTTTATGGTTTTGTGCCTCTCATTTCCTTAGCAACCGTGACTTCAATTCTTCTTATTACCATAATTCGCAAATTTCTCATGTTAAGAGATAAATATATTGCATGAATTCAACAAGTACTCCAGGAACTAGAAATATATGTGATGTGTTTGAAGTTAATTACTGAAATGCTGCTAGTAGGACTTTTCCCTTGTATGGTGAATGTATTGTAAATTGTGATATATCTGATGTAGTACAGGTTAGGGTTAATCTACCTACTTAAGGATGAGGAGTTATACGTAGATAGTACTCTTAGACATCATGCCTAAAAATTGGGTATTAGTATTTAGTGAGATCTTAGATGTGATTCCTAATTATTTTTCTAGTTATTTTCTTACCCATCAAAACCTAATTCCAATGTTAGGCAATATCTAATAATCCTTGGGGATGATATGTAGGTGTTAACGCCTAGTTGCCAAGTTGGCAGAATTATCCTAATTTGTCCCATATCCCCATAATCCTTAAAATCCTATCATACTTCTAGTTTTCATGGCTGCATAATCAGAACTATCATCTAATGGTTCTTTAGTTGTTGACTTGTGCCTGTAATATCTGCAGGATGTCGAAATTGATGAGGAGGTTGATGTTATAATTTCAGAGTGGATGGGTTATATGCTTTTGTATGAGGTGATTATTAGAGTCTTGAATGCATGTTTGCTTTTTCAAGTTTCATCATAATGCCTGAAACAATATCTGGAAGCTATTTGTAGTTTGGGCATATTATTATAGTACTAAAATCTTTGACATTCTTGTTTCTATTCCTTCTTCGTGTATTTCTAGTCTTGTGATGTTTCTAACTTTTTAAATCATAGAGTATGCTAGGAAGTGTAATTACTGCTAGAGATCGCTGGCTAAAACATGGAGGTTTGATTCTTCCGTCAACTGCGACGGTATGTTTTCTTTATATTGTGCATGTAATTTTAAAAAAAAAAAATATTGTGCATGTAATTTCTGTATTTGCTGCTTGTGAATTTGCTGCTCAGTTCAGATTTCAATTATGTGGAGCCGACAACGGAATGAACTTTGTGCTTTTCGTGAGCTGAATTCTGTGTCAATGTATTTGGTGTTGTCTTGTTATAGCATCCAGCAGTGGCTGAAAGTGGATTCAGTTACACAATTTGAATTTGTTTATTCATGAATTGCAGTTATACATGGCTCCTGTTACACATCCTGACAGATACAGTGAAAGTATTGATTTCTGGCGCAATGTCTATGGAATTGATAGTGAGTATAAGCTGATATGAATTTGAATTATTATACTGTGTTAATTTATCTTGCAAACTGGTGTAATCTACCATAAAATTGTCTGTTTTGTTTCGAAGTAGTCCAAATTATCATGGGCAGGGGCATTTGTTTACTCAGGAGAATCGGTCAGCTGAATTATGGTAAAGGGCCTAGTGGAAAATGGAATGGAACAAAAGCTTAGTTTCGAATATCTTTCAGTTGAATTAACTGTGAACTCCAAAGGTTTAGATTAGACACCAGGTTTAGAAGTGATTGCTCGGTAGGAATTCTGAGCAAAACAACACAGTTCTTTGGCCCATTGCCATTGTAAATGCTGGTTAGGTGCTGTTGAATGAACCAACAGTTTGCATGTAACATGCTACAGAATTCACATTTCCTAGCATCCCATGTACAAGCATCATTTCCAAAGGTGGAATCTATTATTTTTCTATTTCAGTGAATGGCACAAGTCCATTTATGTGAACTAATGTTTGCTGACTTCTTTGGCTTTCTGCTGGGAGGTCTATAAATTTCTAAACGCATTACATTAAAATTGTTGCAATAAAGTTGGTGAATATAAAGGATAAAATGCTGTTCAGTTGCATAAACGGTCCCGATAAGCGCTTTGCTTAGCTTATTCTCAGTTGAAAGTGCATAACATTCCATTATTTTTTTTTTCTATGAACTGTTTTTTCAATTTGTACATGTGAATTGTGGTTTAGCAATTGGGAGGATGTTATGTTGGTTGCAGTGTCTGCTATGATACAGCTAGCTAAACAGTGTGCATTTGAGGAGCCATGTGTGGAGACAATAACTGGTGAGAATGTTTTGACATGGCCACATGTGGTTAGTTCTCTTCTTCTAGTTCTATCACCTCAGTAACTTTGTTAAGCATTTCATCATACAATTGCAAGCTAAATTTAGGAAGTGAAATGAAATTTTAGATTTTGTACAGTTACTCTTGTGTAAAATTCATCGAAGGCAAACAGCAAGCTTTAAGTGATATTGCATATTTTGAAGTTCATATGTAAGAGGGATTGTCTCGGATTTGGTAGTTGCTCCATAGAGCAAGGGACATATATGTGTGGAATATGTAAAAGGCAATAGCCTAATCTTTTGGGTTCAAATGGTACCCAAAACCGTATGTATTGGGTCCTTGCTTGGTGGACATCCTAGCTTGTACCACTCATTTTGTGTACCTTTATGGTTGATGGTTTGTGTGGGTATGGGTAAAGGCTCCCTACAGGACCCGCTACTCTAGCTAATTGTCCATCCTTTACAAGTGTGATTTTTATGTTATTTATGGCTGTGTTTGAGAGCACACTGGTTAAATTAGATTCTTTTTTTGATCAATCAAAACCCCTTCCAAAAAGAATGAAGTATTGGTGTTTTAGAGCATGTGCATATCCTGAACATAGATCTCCCACAAATTCTAATTGATTGGTGGATGCAGGTTAAGCATGTGGACTGCTATACAATCCAAATTCATGAGCTAGAATCTGTTTCAACAAGATATAAGTTCCAGTCAATGATGAGGGGTATGTATCAATATGTATATCTTAAATCTTTTTTTTTTTTTGTTTTATGTTAAAATAATCATTCATGGTGAGAGGTACTGTATATATGTATTGATTTCACTTTTTATCCTTTCGTGAAAAACCAACCTAATTTCTTATTGGTTTTCAGCCCCATTACATGGTTTTGCATTTTGGTTCGATGTCGAATTCAATGCGCCAGCAACATCATCTATAGATAATCATGTATCAGCCTTGCTGAGTGGTTCATCAGATAATCATCAAATGGATGGTAGCCAAAGGAAGAAACGAACAAATCCCAACGAAGCACTGGTACTGTCCACTGCCCCTGAGGACCCTCCCACACATTGGCAGCAGGTATGGTATATCATGCATCACTACATTTTGTTTGGTCTGCTTTCCATGGTTGATTTTCTTAAATTGAGAGTAGTAGTTGACTTTTTTGACATATTCACACAAGTACGAGTGACATGCATTTGGTTAGTGTTTATTGAAACTCTCAATAGGCAAATGATCCGCAATCTCAATGAATGACTTAAAAAATTTGTTCCCAATGAGAAAATTGGAAAATCTTAGCGAACTATGTGTTGAAATTTGTAAGATGAGGATGAACAAATATGCACCTTGATTTCATGAGGAATCTGCACCATAAAAAAATTTTGGCAAAATTAATTAATATACAGTTAACCCCCCAGAAAAAAATCGTATGATCATTTCTCTTATAATTAATTTGTTAGAATCCTTCTCTCTTGCAATGAATATATTGTTGAAATTTAGTTTCAATTTATCTTATTGTTGATTTTGGCAGACACTTGTCTACTTTTATGATCCAATTGAGGTAGAGCAAGATCAACTCATTGAAGGCTCTGTGACATTATCACAAAGTAAAGAAAATGCTCGATTCATGAATATTCGCCTTGAGTATGCGTAAGTGATGGATTCTTTCAAGCTGCTATTTTAAAATCTTCAACATGGATCATGTGCAAGTACTTAATTGTTTTTTTTTTTAATTTTTTTACTCTTGCAGCTCAGGTGGCCGATCTTTTGTAAAGGAATCAGTAATGCGTTGATGATGAGTTGATATGGAAACTAGTTTCTTTGAAAGGGTTTGTGAATCTAAATCTCGTTAGTTATATCTGTGGATTTCTTGACTGCAAGTCCTGGTAACTTTGGGATTCAGCTGGGTTTACTCTGCAAACTCATCGATTTCACTAATTTTTAGGTTAGGAAGATGCGTGAAGATGAGACGATTAACAAATTACAGATACAGAAATAGGTGATTCAGTTTAGGGAAATTTTGATGTTAACCAAGCTTGTGTACCGCGGTTGTTTTAGATTTCTCTTTAGGTTGTATTTTACTCGTAGATCTATGAAGATGGGATTTGTCA